GTTACCAGTAGAAAACGCTTATCTCTTAAAACCAAATTAATAAGTTATATAGCTTATAAAACTTAAGCTCTTTCGAAATAATGCTTACCTGATTAAATACAAGACATTTACCGTTGGCAAATTTCGCTAAAGTAAAAATCTGATGTTCACTTTGTGGCACTTGGTTACCAGTAAACAAACACATCTCTTAGCAACAGATTAGCAACAAAAAATGTTATTGTTCAAAAACATAAAATTTGTTCTGTTCTTTTGAAATACTACTTATAACAAGAATTGTGCAGCTGATGAATTTTGCAGAAAAGTGTTTTTTTGTTTGTCATTAGTGATAATTTATTGTGAAGCACACATTCGACATAAAAGTAAAAATCTGATTTATACTTCGTGGCAGTTCGTTACCAGAAAAAATCCGGCTTATCTTTTAACATCAAATTAATAATAATATTGTTTATAAAACATAAGCTCTTTCAAAATACTTCTTCTCTACTTAGACACAAGAAATTTGCAGTTGGTAAATTTTGCAAAAGTGAAAATCAGATGTTGACTTTGTGGAATTTGGTTACCAGGAAACGTGATCGTCTCTTAGCAACAGATTAGCAGATTATCAACAAAAATTCTTATTGTTCAAACAACACAAGATTTATTCTGCTCTTTTGAAATACGACTTATTTTATACTTGTTAAGAATTGTGTCATTGGTGAATTTAGCAGAAAAGTTCATTGTTTTGTCATTAGTGGTAAATATATTAAACACACATTCAACACAAAAGTAAAAATCTCGATTTATTCTTCGTGGCAGTTCGTTACCAGTAGAAAACCCGCTTATCTCTTCACACCAAATTAATAATAATTTATATAGTTTATAAAACATAAGCTCTCTCAAAATGATGCTTACCTGATTAGATACAAGACATTTACCGTTGGCAAATTTTGCAAAAGTAAAAATCTGATGTTCACTTCGTGGCACTTGGTTACCAGTAAACACACTCATCTCTTAGCAACAGATTAGCAACACAAATTGTTATTGTTCAAAAATATAATATATGTTCTGCTCTTTTGAATTATCTTCCACTATTTAACAAGAATTGTGCAGCTGATGAATTTTGCAGAAAAGTGTTTTTTTTTATTGTCATTAATGGTAAATATATTGTAAAACACACATTCAACACAAAAGTAAAAATCTGATTCATTCTTCGTGGCAGTTCGTTACCAGTAGAAAACGCTCATCTCTTAACACCAAATTAATTATTCTGTTTTTTTAGGTGTAGAGTAATAGGTGCCTTACATGCATTGCATGGAAGCATTGAAAACAGTGTAAACATTGGTGTTTATGCTATGACAAAGATGGACTTTGTTTATTACAGGTTACTTCTGAAAGTGCTTGATTTAACTCGATTTTATTTTGGGGTATCTGAGTAATAAAGACTGTACTCAAATGCACCCCAGATTTTTCCAATTAAAAATAAGTAAAATTATAAGATTATTTTGATTCCCCTATAAAATATCAGGCTGCAGTGATTTGATCTACCAATTAAACTATAATACGTAGCCAATAAGTCAAACATGACAAACTATGGCTCAGTTCAAAGGGTGTAAATAACAGTATTTTGTTTACTACTCCATTGCAGTGATGGAGAAAGACTTAATAACTTCAGATTACATCAATAGGCAGGACAAATTCAGGATATTAGGGATAATCCCTAGTCACTTACACTTGGTGGATAACTGAACTCTGCTCCCTGACATTGTGGATCAACTTAAGAGAAGCAGCTTCCTGAATTTGGACCAGGTTGCTTTTCTGTTCTCTGTTGCTTTTTCCTCTTTAGAGAGGCCAGCAGAACACCTTGTGTGTATTTATATTACTATTTGTTTGAGATTCAATTAGATTCAGAAGACTACTTATAGCATCTAATAGCAGGTAAAACAAATGTAATGAACTCAATCAAGAGGTGCAGTTTTTAATCATGACTTCACACAAATAGCAGATTTTAGCATAATGCTAATTTACAATGCAGATATCATCTATCTATGCTTTTGTGTCTCAGTTAAATATTTCGGTAAAACTTTGTAAAACACACATACGCAAGTTTTTTATTTTTATTTATTTATTTTTTTTCCATTTCTCAAGGGAAAAATGGAAATCCAAAGCAACTTACCTTTTAATTAAAAAATAGTTACCCCGTAAAGCTAATCAGGCATTTTGCTAACACTGGGAAAAACTACTAATGATACATGGTCAGTTATTTTTTAAAATTGTAATAGAGGCATTTTGGCAGGCTCTTTTTTTATAGTATTGTTTTAATCTTGTCACAATGGAGAGTTTAAGAGGAAACAACCTGTTTAAGGTCATCCTCTCAATAAGAGACTTGCCAGTATATGCTTTGTGCCAAATGTAAATAAACAAACCATAACTAAACTCAAACACAAGTAAAATTTTCCCCGGTGTCGACTTGAGACACATATTTTAGGGAGCAGAACTGACAGCAGCAAAAGATAGTGGCAGGAAACGCCTACACAAATACTCAACAGATCAAGAGTAAATACATATCGGTGTCTGTGGAGGAGCTGCAGAGATGCTCTGTCCAAGTATGTCTTGTGCAATCCCTTTTACAGGACAGTGAAAAAACAGCGAAAAGTGTGAAAGAAAGTCCTTTATATGATCTGTTGATTACTTTTAACTTGTATTGTGAGGAGACTCATCAGAACTGAACAAATACACACAGCTTTTTCCTACGTAGTTGCAGGAGAGAAAATATTACCTTTTTAGATGCTCTGTGTGTCATTAAAAAAAAAAAAAAGAATCACCTGAAGCAAAACTGCATGCTTCTGCTTTGGATTTCATATTGGAAAGTCCAATATTTTTGTTGTATTATTTGAGTCATCAGTGTTGAGGGGTGCACACATCAATTAACATAGCGGGGACAGGTTCCAAGAGTCGCCGGAAAGTTCACAGGTTCAGGCTTATCTCCGGCTGGCAGCTGGACGTGGATGAAAAAGCTTTAATACCCACGGCTGCTGTGTGATAATAGCCACACTCTTGTCACTTCTCACCTCTCTCACCCCGTCGTTCTGCTTCCCTTCTAAAAGCTGCTGGCGATTAGCTGGTGGATGTAAAAGGCACATTGTCTGTCCTCTCTCTCATCAGTCATCTCAGGCTCATCTTTCTGCTGCTTTCTTATTTNATTAAAAGATTAGCAACAAGAATTCTTTTTGATCAGAAAATATAATCTTTCTTCTGCTCTTTTGAAATACAACTTATTTTATACTTAAGAATTGTGTCGTTGGTGAATTTAGCAGAAAAGTTCATTGTTTTGTCATTAGTGGTAAATATATTAAACACACATTCAACACAAAAGTAAAAATCTCGATATATACTTCGTGGCAGTTCGTTGCCAGTAGAAAACCCGCTTATCTCTTAAAATCAAATTAATAATAATTTATATAGTTTATAAAACATAAACTCTTTCGAAATAATGCTCACCTGATTAGATTCAAGACATTTACCGTTGACAAATTTTGCAAAAGTAAAAATCTGATGTTCACTTTGTGGCACTTGGTTACCAGTAAACAAACTCATCTCTTAGCAACAGATTAGCAACACAAATTGTTATTGTTCAAAAATATAATATATGTTCTGCTCTTTTGAATTATCTTCCACTATTTAACAAGAATTGTGCAGCTGATGAATTTTGCAGAAAAGTGTTTTTTTATTGTCATTAATGGTAAATATATTGTAAAACAGACATTCAACACAAAAGTAAAAATCTGATTCATTCTTCGTGGCAGTTCGTTACCAGTAGAAAACGCTCATCTCTTAACACCAAATTAATTATTCTGTTTTTTTAGGTGTAGAGTAATAGGTGCCTTACATGCATTGCATGGAAGCATTGAAAACAGTGTAAACATTGGTGTTTATGCTATGACAAAGATGGACTTTGTTTATTACAGGTTACTTCTGAAAGTGCTTGATTTAACTCGATTTTATTTTGGGGTATTTGAGTAATAAAGACTGTACTCAAATGCACCCCAGATTTTTCAATTAAAAATAAGTAAAATTATAAGATTATTTTGATTCCCCTATAAAATATCAGGCTGCAGTGATTTGATCTACCAATTAAACTATAATATGTAGCCAATAAGTCAAACATGACAAACTATGGCTCAGTTCAAAGGGTGTAAATAACAGTATTTTGTTTACTACTCCATTGCAGTGATGGAGAAAGACTTAATAACTTCAGATTACATCAATAGGCAGGACAAATTCAGGATATTAGGGATAATCCCTAGTCACTTACACTTGGTGGATAACTGAACTCTGCTCCCTGACATTGTGGATCAACTTAAGAGAAGCAGCTTCCTGAATTTGGACAAGGTTGCTTTTCTGTTCTCTGTTGCTTTTTCCTCTTTAGAGAGGCCAGCAGGACACCTTGTGTGCATTTATATTACTATTTGTTTGAGATTCGATTAGATTCAGAAGACTGCTTATAGCATCTAATAGCAGGTAAAACAAATGTAATGAACTCAATCAAGAGGTGCAGTTTTTAATCATGACTTCACACAAATAGCAGATTTTAGCATAATGCTAATTTACAATGCAGATATCATCTATCTATACTTTTGTGTCTCAGTTAAATATTTCGGTTAAACTTTGTAAAACACACATACGCAAGTTTTTTTTTTTCTCCATTTCTCAAGGGAAAAATGGAAATCCAAAGCAACTTACCCTTTAATTAAAAATAGTTACCCTGTAAAGCTAATGAGGCATTTTGCTAACACTGGGAAAAACTACTAATGATACATGGTCAGTTATTTTTTTGTATTGTTATAGAGGCATTTTGGCAGGCTCTTTTTTTATAGTATTGTTTTAATCTAGTCACAATGGAGAGTTTAAGAGCAACCAACCTGTTTAAGGTCATCCTCTCAATAAGAGACTTGCCAGTATATGCTTTGTGCCAAATGTAAATAAACAAACCATAACTAAACTCCTCTGTGGCTGACCCTGTGTGTACTAGCATTAGCTGCTAGTACACACAACATACATTTTTCCATCAACATTAAAAATTATTTCCTGCCAACAGGAAATGATTTGTCCTCTGACCCCTTTACCTCATGTTCAATTTTTTTTGACTCATTCTCAGTAAAATCAAATTATGAAGAAACAATGAACAAGATACATACATAAGAAAGAAGGAGATATTACAAATTGAACATTTTTGCTTCAATTTGCTTCTTTTTAAACATTTTTTTGTATTATTCCACTGCATCAACACCACATGCAATCATGTTATGATTTCATTGACATTTGGAAAAATGTCAAAGGGCTTATGTGGATATAAACAGAGTAAAGATATTACATAAGTGACAATATTGTCGTAGATCAAGCTTTGTAACATGAATACAAATATAATTAGAAAATGCTAATTTAGAAATGCAAAGTTCATATTTAGAATTTTCTGTTGATATACAGGACAAAAGCACAACATTTCACCAAGTTTTTATGGTCTAGTTTCTTGGGCAAATTTCTCAGTGCACTAGAAATAAGACAAAACTAACTTACAATAAACTTTTTAGCAATATATAAGAGATTGCTTTAAGTCAATAACTTCTTAATATTGATGACACAGCACTTGTTCATTGGTAGATACTTTCTCTTCTAATAAGGTATTTTCCCCATGTTATAAGTGAGCATAAAGTTGTTTGCTTTTTCTTAAAGTGTTGTGAACAGTCTCCATAATCTTACTGTTTTTCTGTGACATGTTTTCTTACACTCATGCTGTTCTACTAAAACATTTTGGAGATGTTCTGAATAAAAGTCATGTGAGCATACAAATGTCCTCAGCATTTGCTATGAGCTTGTAGCAGCAGATCCTCTGGTGCACATTGTGGGAGTCGGTGCGCCGGTAGCTGCTTCATTCGGAGGTCTGCTAAGTTGGAAGTACTTTTCTGCTTTGGTCTTTTTCATTTTCATATATTAACAAAAGTCATGCCCCTTTGGAGAGGATT